ATTAGATTGGATGAACGTATAGGAATAAGAATGGACCTGAATTAGATTGGATGAACGTATAGGAATAAGAATGGACCTGAATTAGATTGGATGAATGTATAGAAATACGAATTGATCTGAATGAAACATATAAATACCCCAGCACTTACTTTTCCTTTAAGGCACATCTTGTGTTAGGATCTGTCACGTTTGCAAACAACATCATTCCCAAAATAGCGAAGATATAATAAATGGCCTACAACAAAACAGAAACCATCAGGTTCTGACCATCAGTACTTTCCCGAGAAAAAGGGACTACTGGCATTTTGCAACATGATTGGCTAATGCTCTAGCTAACTAATCCAATGAACACCCTTTACCTATCAGGGAAATGTAAGGCTAGGCATCGCGGACTCCCTAAATTTCTACAAAGTTATACTTCAACTACGAAACTGTAAAAAAGTAACGAGTTACGAACCACTATGAGACCAGCGAAAGGCGTGAGGTTACGCAAAAGATTCATTAACGTCTCAGCTATCAAAGACAACGCCTTAAAGAAAATATATACAAAAATAATCAACAAATGCGATTGGTTTTTCAGGAGAGAAGAGGAGAGGAGAGGAGAGGAGAGGAGAGGAGAGGAGAGGAGAGGAGAAGAGAGGAGAGTTTTCGATAAGCCAATGTCAGGCAGTGATCAGTAACGCCCTGCACACAAACGAAAGCAAGCAACTCAGCTAACTTACACAATTATTTACCTTAATATTTGGTATTATCCTTAGCAGTCGGAAAATAATCAGCATATTGGTGATGCGTATGAGATTAGCCATAGATGGTAAGTCATCTAGGGAATATCCATCATTTGTGCTCGTCCTGTGGGATAAAAACCAGATCACTTAGAGGGGATTCAAGGCCATGCTATGCCGGGTATAATAATTCATAAAAAACTTGAAGTATGGCTATAAGTCTCTCCCATCCCCATTCCTTTTAAAAGGGAACAAAAGGTTTTGACTTCGGTATTCACAATTACACAATAAAGTCTGCGTTTTGACTTCATTCTATAAAATCAATTCATCTTTTGAGCGCTAGCCATCACGTGGTATAAAATGTGTTAGATTGTGTTACGGTCACCAAGAAGTTCCGACATTGTTCTCGGATTTCTGTACGAATGTACTGACTTTTAAACAAATTATCTACACGGTTCGTTTAGTTAGCTCCCTAAATACAAACAAAAGATAACTTCTCTAGCTTGATTGAAGCTTTTCTTACTGCTGTTTAGAAAAGTAACTAAAGAAATCGATCTAAATTTTCTTTTAGATAATCGAAACGTGTTTGGTGGAAGCCAAAGAGAAAGTCACAGCCGCATATGAGTAGTACAGAGGGTTTCTATTCGTAGCCATGCACCATCTACATGAAAAGTAATCAAAATGTTCTGTAAAACTTACGAGTTGCCAAAAGGAGGACCATGTAGAATGATGATAATGACTTCAACCATCTGAAAAAAGTCACTTCAACTTCATTTTAAAAGTAATTAAAAGACATATCAATTTCTGGAAGGTTCTTAAAATATTCTGTTTCGTCCAAAGTGCTGTACAGTTATACGAAAAGTAACTATTTATAATCACTCTATATCATATATATATCTATATCATCACTCTATAATCACATATAAGCAACTATTGCATTATTTTCAAATTCTCTTTCCTGTACAAATTAAAGATTAATTTGGATAGTTTCAATTCGCATTCTTTCGAGGGAAAACTATGACTTGTGGAATCAGTCTAGTATAGTTTGGGATGATATAATTAATCTGCAATAGAACTACATGTCTGCCCAATTTGGAAATAATTGAATTCAAAAAATTCCTCTGACTGCCAAATTGTACTCGGCCTATCAGCCTCTTCCAATTTTGTTAGTCCTCGGAATTTTTTTTCATCCAATTGTACTAATTCAAAAACATTACTTCAATATTCTTGGGATGCCAACACGACTCAAAATCCCTCTAAATATAAATAAACAGCTCCCTGTTGGTTGATCTAACAAGAGAAGCTAATAAGAAATGCTTTGTTGTCATCAACCAAAATAGTGGATATGACGTAACATGCAACCCAAGAATAGAATGCTTCTAAATGTTCACTTATGACCAGATGTACATACCACTAGAAGAACAGTGACAACCCCACAGTACAGGTTACCCTATCAAAATAAAACGAAAGGATATCAATATCGACTTAACATATGGCCTTTTGCCATTTAAGGCGCAGATACCAGTTTGACTTTCCCTGCAATTTGTCTAACTGACTGTCATGCTTGAATTCGGCAACGCCTGTGTGGAAAAATGAGCATCGTGTATAGCTGCACCTTTGCGAATTATTTCAAGTCACTCGTTCGTTAGAAACAGGACCAGAATTACTTTACCTTGAAAGAAATGTATCTTTGCCATCCGAGGGCCCAAAGTTTTGTACTCTTAAAATGAATAGAATAAATTGTGTCAAAGCATTCATAGCAAGTGATGTTAAGGGAGGCATACAAGATAGAGATTGGAAGGTGCATGGTGCTATGAAATTAGCACCATTTCATAGAAGGTGGTGGGTGTAGAAAGGATAGGGAATACGAAACTTACTTTGTGCCATGAAAGTTGTACTATTGAGGGTATTTCATGAAAGGTATGAAAAGCATTGGAACACGAAGGAGATGTTATGGGAGGTGGTGCCATCACAGTTGCTTTCATAGAATGTGGTGATATGGAGAGTAGTGTTATGGAAGGAGATGTAATGAGAGGTGGTGCCACAGAGGTGGTGTTATATGAAGTGGTGCTATGTAAGGAGATGTTACGGGAAGTGGTGCCATAGACAGTGGTGCTATGGAATTTGTGTTATGTAAGGAGATGTTACGGAAGGTGGTGTCATCGCAGTGGTTTTCAAAGAATGTGGCATTATATAAAGTGGTGTTATGGAAGAAGATTTTATGGAAGATGGTGCCATGGACGTAGATGTTACGGAAGGTGGTGCCATAAAAAGGGGTGCTATGCAAAGTGGTGTTATAAAAGGAGGTGCTATGGAAAGTGGTGTTATGGAAGGAGATGTTATTAGAGCTGGTATCATGGCGTTATAGAAAGTGGTGCTATAAAAGGAGATATTATTGGAGGTGGTGTTATGGAAAGTGGTGTTATGGAAAGTTGCGTTATAGATGGAGATGTTACGGAAGCTGGTGCTATGAAAGTAGTTCTACGGAAAGTGGTGTTATGGAAGGAGATGTTATGGGAAGTGGTTCCATAGAAGTTGAGGTTATGGAAAGTGGTGCTATGGAAGGTGTGCTATGGAAGGTGGTGTTATAGAAAGTGGCGTTATGGGATATGTTATGGGAGGTTGTGACATCAAGAGGGGTGCCATGGAAGGTTATGGTTACGGAAGGATAAGACATGGAAGGTGGGATCATAGACGATGGTTTTCATGAAGGGTGGTTTTCCATGGAAAGGTGCCATGGTAGTTGTTGTCATAGAAGGTGTGCAGTACGGGTGGCGCTATCACGGAGGTAATTTTTGGTTGTGGTGTCATGTCATCATGTTGAGTCAATGTCAATAACAAAAAGGCCAATTTAAGATATTTAAAACAAAAAAATCCTTACCTGTTCAAAAAGGTAGTACAACACAAAAAAGAAGTTGACACTCTGAAAAAAAGCGAAAGAGGGTAAAAAAGATCAATTTACGAATAAAAACCATTACTACTATTAAAGTGCGACCCACCAAGTTTGATGTTTAGTTCGCTGACTAGCATACTTCAATGGCCTACAATCAAAGAACTGAAATAAAAAACAATAATATCTTCAGGGAGATTTTGGACTGAATTAATATATTTTCCTCTATTTCTCTAAAATCTTTAATTCAGTCGAACATTTCCCTCAAAATATTGTCTTTTTATTTCAGTTCTTTGATTAACGGTCGTTGAAATGCTAGTCCGCGAACGAGACCTCAAACTTCGAGGGTTGCAACGATAATGATAGTAACACAATACACATGCAGCCCTCTCATCTACTGTCTTCAAGAGTCAAAACTCCAAATGATGATTTGCAGTAAAAACAAGGAATGTTTTTGTAATGAAAAGCTGTGTGCAGTTTAACAGTTGAGTTGCTAATACTTTATAAGTGCATTACCAAACATACCGAAAGAGCAGAATGACTAGACTTGACAGAACTGTCGTAATGAACATCAAGCATCACCTAAAGGACAATAAAAGAGTTCTTTTAAATCGGTAACCAGCCTTTTACTCTCCCCCACAGCCTCTTACTCTCCCCCACAGTCTCTTACTCTCCCCTACAGCCGTTGTCGGTGTCGTCACACAACGCTCACTCCCAACGAGCATTGGGTGATGACATTTAGAACGGCTGCAGGAGAGACTGCCTCTAGTTAGTTCAGACATTTCTCAAAAGTGAAACGAAAGAGACCATTATCTTCCCTCCACTCCCATTACTTAATTTCTAGAGAAAGAACAGTTTAAGACTTACAGACACAATAACGACATTGACTCCTGCCATGAAGTCACCAAAATAGTCAAAAACAGTATGCGCTACAATGACTTGGAATTGCCTAACAAATTGGTTACCAACGAAACTCATTGGAGGTCTGTATCGATRCCTGGCACGCTTTTCAAGCACATCAAACAAATCTTGGAACTCTTTAGCATCATATCGACCGGTGGTGTTGCTAACCAATGCCTGAAATGGAGAAAATAAAATCGGCCGGGAAATTTGAGTTAGCTAAGTATTTTCTCCACAGAGTGGTGACATATATAGAACTTCTAAGAAAGAAGATACGATGTCTCCCCCCCCCCCCCACAGGTAATATAGTATTACTTTTTACCTCTCTCAGGAGCTGTTTGTTTCGTTTGCCTAACTTGGCTTTGTCGATAACTCGACGAACATTCTCCTTAGTGACAAAACTCCTGTAAGAAAGAAGCAGATCGCTGAAAAAAAGGACTGATAAAAAGGCCTATCAATAGAATCTTATTTGCTGGAACAGACTCCTTGCAAAACGTCGGAATGCAGCTCAATTTGTAGGACATGACAACAGGTTTCCAATAGACCTTATTCGTGGTGTGACAATGTTTTCCCAATTCAGCGTGACAAACCTCCAGAGAATTCATTTTCTTTTGTTTTTACTCTTCGAAAAATTCATGAGTATCCCAAAGGATACGAAAGGAATAACAATGATATCCCGACGAGTTTCAAATAAATAGCTGTTCATTTCCCCAGAGGTTTGTCACGTTCAACTGAGAAAACATTGTCACACCACGAATAAGGTCTATTCTCAAGAGATTGAACTTCTTTTGTTTTATCATCCAAATCGAGCTGCTTTCACGTCACACGCATGGGGTCTATAAGAGAGACAGTAATAGAAAGTAATAGCAGCGTGAAAGTCGATAGCAGCGGAAATTTATTTGTGTGATTATTGGTTATTAGTGGTCGTCACGTCATTCTCGTTACCAGACCCTACTCATTAGCCAAATCGTAGGCTCTGGAAAACCCTGCTGACCAGAAGCCAGAATCTTGAATAACAGAATCAATGTCAGTCTCGATTTCAAACCATTGTTTCATGGTCATCCAAGCGAATTTGGGTAAGGTGCATAGACCGTTTTCTCAAGGTTGCATGCGCATCCAACTTGACCGGCCACAAAACTGAAAAACGCAAATTCAGTAAAATTGAGAAAACAGTTTTATATTAAAGATGAGAATAATCGATTCTATGAATTCTTATCGAAAAAAATTTCATAGTAATGTATGATTATACTTGTGTTCTGGTATCGTGGCCCGTCAAGCTCCTTCAATTTGGATGCGCACGCAACCTTGAGGAAACGCTTTATTGGTCTCCTTGGCCCGGTTGTAAGACGGGTGGATAGCAGTATCCGACGTATAAATCCTATCCAGTGTATAAAGTGATGGTGTAACCCAATAAATTTATCCCGTGAATAAGATTTATCCGTCGGATAGCGCGATCCAGGCTTCGTACAACCGGGCCCTGGTGTTAGGCGTGATTTTGAAGACGTGTGGTTGTACAGATCTGAATACAGGAAAAGCTCGTACTTACGTTGGCAGAAATATAGCATCATTGTCAGGGATGCTAACATGGCACAACATTTCAAACGCAGCTCGAACACCCAGTCTTCTGCGGAACAGACTGGACTGAAGGGATTTCTGAGGATTTCATAACAAAAAGCTTTTATGATAGATGTTTTGCAATCATTCCCAACAAAATGAAATAACAAAAGCCATATATGTTATTTACCGGCCAGAAGGTCTGGATAAAGGAAAATCTGTGCCCGAAGTCTTGAAACGGCCGAGGTCCGCGTTTTCAAAACCGAGGTCCGCGTTTTTCCCTATCCAGACCGACTATAGGACGGTAAATAACTTTTTTTGCCCCTGTATTTTTTTAACTTGTTTTTGTAATCGTTTTGTATTGTCGTTTAGCGGCAAAGGATACCGGACCGCGAGCGCGGGCCGATACTGACGAAATACCGCCCGCGCAAACAGCCAATCAGAACGCACAATTGTATAAGATCCCGAACCGGAAAGAGATAAATGATGATAATGTTGGTTGATATTCCAAAAAAGACTGATTGCAAATCTTTCGCTTAGTTTTACGAAGATATACGGAAGGTCTGAGAAGAAGTTCTGCGTCTTGCTCAAGGAATATTTAACAATTATTCCCCCCAGGCAAAGTGCGGGTTATCGGTGAATATTAACCATAATCATTAATCCTCAAGTGAATAATTGTTTTAGGATTATTTTACTAGACTTTATATAAAAAAAGACGAAATTCAGGATTAAAAAAATATTCAATTATTACTTCTGCTTTGGTGATTTTACGTCCGCTCATGACGAGCGAATATCATCTCATCTCATCATCAATGACAGCGCGCGAAACTCTATATTCAAGTTTAAAATTATACTAAATGAGAATAAACCGATGTTAGTCGGCAGGTTAGCAAGTAAAATGTCGGTCCTTTCCCGTTAAGAGACGTTAAATACAAAATATGTTTATCAGAGAATATGTGACTGCTTGATGTCAGTGTCAATGACAATCCTTTATCAATAATAAAGTCGCTCCAATTTTTTTAATTTTTTTTACGATATTTACCATCAAGTATCCTCTGAACTGATTATAGACAACAGCTGTTAACAAGTTCAAGAAGCAGTAAAGCCCTGAGAAAGAAAACAGCATCAGTGGTAATAGTCCCCTTCACAGTTCCCTGCGCCATCTTGAAAGGTAGCCGTGCCTTTGCATCGAAGCGAGACGAACGGTGAGATAGAGACCTTTTTTTAATACCTTGGACAATTATTCGCATGTCTCTATCATTGCAAGCTCACCGTTCGTCTCGCTTCGATGCAAAGGCACGGCTACCTTTCAAGATGGCGCAGGGAACTGTGAAGGGGACTATTGCTGCAGCTTTTGTGGCTACTTTACTTACAACTCAGTGTTTTCTTTGGTACGCGGTGATGAAGGCAGAATCGCGACATGGAATTTGAGCAATACACTGCCGTCAATCAAATAAATCACTAGAGTAGTTTCACATGTGCCTTCTCACGGTCCTCATGTACCTTTATGTACGCTAATAATTTATTTGATTGATGTCCATGTGGCGACTGCTGTCTCGATCAGAACATAGCAATGAAAACCGTGGTAACTCCATATTACACCTTTAAACTGGTGACGCTTTCGTCATCTATGTAAACAGGGTACGAAAATGTTAAAATTGAAGTGTAGCTACTGGTAGACCACATCCTAATGTAGTATGATATCTCACAAAACTTCGGTGACTTACCAATTCCAGTGAAGAGGAAGAAGTAGATGGCATAAAATCGGTTTTTCATGTAAGCTGGCATCATCACTAAAAAAAGAAAAAGAATGAAAATGAATTTAAAAAAATGAAGTAAAGATATTTTAAAGAATGAAAATTACCAGAAAATGCGAGAAAGAAAGAATTTTAAAACAGACACGTTTTGGGCTTCGTAGACTTTTGTCACGCAGCAGCTCATGAGAATTAGAGCCTTTTTTCTGTCCGTGAAAACTCAACGCGAGGCTGCGAGGCTGGACGAGCAAAAATCTATTGTTCAATCCAACATGGCTGCCGCTTGAAAATTGTTCCAGATTGTTACGAAGACCTATCACATGATCTTTTCTGTTTCTCTACTGCCAGAGCCTCCCGTCTCCCAGTGTTTCCTGGAGTCTCTTGTAGGTCTCCCTACGTTTCTGCTATAGATGACTCCGATAGCAAGGAACCTTCTGTATGTGTTTACTTACCATCTGGGTTATTAGCTGTTGTTAGTAGTACAAATAAACTTCTCAATGATACTGATAAACTCTTGAAGTATTTTGCCCCTTCACATATGGAACCACTGTCAGAGGTATTGCTACTACATTCCTCAATCTGCATGGAGTTGAAAAGAAAATGATATGAATAGACTGTAATGAAATGAAATGAGAAAGAAAGCAGAGAAAAAGAAAAAGAAAAGAAGTAAAAGGAAAGGTGAAGAAATAGGCAAGGCAAGGCAAGGCGAGGCGAGGCGAGGCGAGGCGAGGCGAGGCGAGGCGAGG